CGATGCCTCACTCCCCAAAATCCACATGCCTCAGTCTTCTCACATCTTCCCACTTGCCTCTTTTGCTCCATTATTCTAACACTTTCATGGGTGATTCTCCCGCTCTCAGGCTCCCATACCATACTATAGTCTCCCTAATAAGATCATCTCTTTCTATTTTACATCCTTGAGACTTTTCTATAACCTGCACCTCACATCAGAAAACTATTATTCATTTAATCATTTTCTGAAAGTATTTCCTTTAGTTGGTCTTCATTTGACTTTTTTTTATTTCTTATTTGCTGTTAGTCTTGTTTTGTATTCAAGAGATATTTCAAAAACTGGCTATAACCAGACCTTTCAATTCTTTTCCACTTTTCTTGAGATGTTCTAGGCGAATAACTTCCACCACTCCATTTTTTCTTTTTACTTAAATTGCAGCTTTTTTGTAATGTACTTTATTGATTCATACTGATATCTTGCTATCTGAACTTGGTAGTAGAAGAAAGAAAAAGATTTTTCTAACATAATGTCAGACTAGGGCTTCAGAGCATAATAGGCTACTAACAAACCTTTCTTTCTCATAGTCAATGGAAGCTAGTCTAAAAGGGAAAGTGGCAATCCACATAAGTTTGCTCAACCACAGCTGCCACATAATTGGATCTGCTGCCACATTGGTAATTTATGGTGGCTTTCATATCCTATAGCGTTAGCCACAGAACATTTCAAGGAGACACTGTATGAGAGCACTCATACTTCCTTACCGCTGTTGCAGGGGCAGTCATTTTGCTTTGGTGATATTTTAAACACCTGCTTATTTTACTGTTCAGAAAACAAGTGGACAGAGACATAAAGGGCGTTCTTGTTCCAAAGTCTGGAAGTTTGGAAGGAATTTGCGACAGTGAAAAGATGGTACTGTTGAACCAAGGCTCGGTGTAGGTTGTATGCCAATTATGGGGTACTTATACCCAATCCTAACTTTAATTTCCTCAGTTTAGGTAACACTAGCAAGGAAGACACAATGGCAGGACTTTGCATGAGCTGCATAAATCCACTGGGTACTTACCTGAACCACTAACCATGTTCAGGATCCTGCTGCTGGGTCTGCACTGCAACTGATTGCAACTATCTTGGGTAGTGTTTCCCAACCTTTTCTAGCCCAAAGCACACTTACATTAATAAACATTTTTTGCGGCACACCTGTTAAGGCATTCCCCATCCTCATACTTATTGTACCTCATTGTAGCTCATTGCCATGGCAAAATTCCATGGCACACCTGTTCATTTCTGACGGCACACTTTTGTGGTTAGGAAACACTGATCTTGGGTCTGCTGCAGTTATACCTCTAACTGCATTATAGTGTACCGTAAAAGAAACCCTAAGGCCTGCTCTCACCTTCATCAGTTAGGAAGCAGTTTGTCCCTGAACTTAGATCCCTTAAAGCTCCATTGCAAGCCTTTAAGACCTACCACCTACAAAACTTATGCATAGAAATGTCTTTTATTCTCACATGGATGAGGACATTTGCATATATCCATGGCTGTTACAGGTCTTGAATTACTATTGAGCTTGTTTGTTTTAAGTTCATTTAATCTTTTTAAGTGAAGGGATTTCATCATAAAATACATTGTACAAAGGCATGACTAGGATCATTTCAAAACGCCCCGCAGCAAAAAAGCTGTCATAGGCTTTAGAGTGCAATAGGTGACAAAGTATCTGGTCTGTGAATTAACAATAATATTTAGGTAAGTACAGTTGTCAAGTACTTTCACACAAGGTTTTTTAAAAGGGAATAATTGCCCTAATCCCTTTTTACCAATCTAATGTCCAGTGGTTCAAACTACTCCTGCTAGTCTAGTACAGGGAAGTCCAGTTTTTAGAATATGTGATTCCTTCTCTCAGATTCCTAGAAGGAGTAGAAAACCCTTAAGCTTCATATCCGGTGTCACAGAAATCAGCCTATTACTTCAACGTCTCTGACCATGATCTCTTCCCAGCCGCAACCCTCAGTACACTGATGGCAGAGATGCCCCAGCAAGAAAGAGATGTTGGAGGGCTAGACTGATTTCCATGACTTTGGATATGGAACTTAAAGGCTTCCTCCTCCCTCCTGGTATCTGATAGAAAGAATCATACATACTATAAACTGGATTTCCCTGTGCTAGCACGAGTAGTTTGAAACACTGGACATTAGATTGGTAAGAAGGGAATTGGGACAATTGTTCCCTTTTTAAAAAATGGTGTGTGAAAGTGCTTGAAGACTATACTTATCTAAATATTGTTAGTTCACAGATCAGACACTATGTCACCTATTGTAATGGAAATTGTTGTGACTGCAACCTCCAGAAGGCCTCCATTGCTGAAGGCCCTACACCTTGTTGTATGTTCATACCAAAGGAAATGCTTTAAGGAAAAAGAAGACAACCCTAAAAAATCCTCCAAAAGCAAAATCACACAAGTTTAAGAGGTGCGTCACTATATACAGGCAGGGCCGCACCTGGGGGGCGAATCGGGGCGACTACCCCAGGCCCCACACTTTGGGTCGCCCTGCAGACAGTGCTGTATGTGTGGGCCGGGAGCAATCCGGGCCCTTTTTCGCGCCGCACAGGCTGTGGCCAGCAGCCCGGGCATGCTGGGTCGGAGAAAACAGGCGACACGCTAGAATTAGGCACGGACACTTAATGGTTGATTTAAGATTATTTACTTACACCGAAGATGGTCGCGGTGCAGGCAGGAAAACTTGCTTGAGTTGCAGTTACAGATAGAAAAGAAGAGAGGCGGACTAGAGTTCCTTCCTGTGAACATTCTTCTAGCCCATCCAGTTGGAGGCTCTAAACCGCGAGCCCGTTGCACCAACCGAAGAAAGTACTCAAAGAAAAGAGCTCTAAATAGACTCACACAAAGTTTGCTAGGCTCGAGGAACTTGTGCGCGCAGGGAAGAGGGATACGTCGAGGATTGCGCTCGGCGACAGGGAGAGGCTAGAGGCTGATCAGACCCCTGTTGCCTTCTTGATATTCACGCTGGGTCCAATAGGCTCCGCAGCGCTTAGAGATCTTCACGAGACGTGAAGTCTCCTTCTCCTGGTGTTCGTGGAGTCCTCCAACTTGGGTGGAAACCACTCAAGCCTTTTATACGGCTAGCAAGCCAATCGCTAGCTGCCACGTGTGAATAATTTCATGCAAGCCAATAA